ACCATTCATTTATTGCAGTTTACGTGCCATTACTTAGCAATAGTTGCTAATTTCGCGGTCGTTTCCTAGTAGCGGGTCTATATGCCAAAATATTTAGACTGTAGACACAATCTGTTAAAACTTGGAAATACGTAAGGACGTAGGAAGCCGGGATAGCTCACTGGCTACGGGCTGGATGACCAAGGAACTGATGTTCCACTGCCAGCGGGGATATGAGATTTTTCTCTTCTCAACACCATCCAGAGCGGAAATTAGGCGCACCCTGCTTCCGTATCGGAGGCACTCCCCTTGGGTTCAATAATACATACGTAAAAGTGTTCCTCTAAAATATATTACGTGTTTATAGAGTTACAGACTTTTAATTTATTTAGATTTTTTCGTAAAATTTGGTACTTTTATGTTAAGTTGAATCATAATTGTACGTTATTACTTACCTTTTCGTATAGTCGCGCTGTCTTTTCGATATTTCTCTTTGGCGAGTGGGAATATGCGGTAGCGCAGTTGGTTGAGGCAATATGTTACAAGCCGGAAGGTCGCGGGTTCCTGTCCCGATCAGGTGGATTTTTTCCAATTTTCCTAATCTTTCGAGACGCACTATGACCCTGGGGTCGACTCAGCCCCTAACACATATGAGTACAAGGAACCTTCCTGGGGGGGATTAAAGGGCAGCCGACGTGGGAGGCTGACAAACTCACGGCCATCTTTGAGCCGATTGTCTAGTAAATGTGAGAACCTCGACTCCCCACAAACCTATGGTCCTTCAAGGCCTATTACACGGATAGCTTTACTTTTTGTGCCATTTTTTATCTATTTGCGAGCAACCGGCGCTGATTGATGTAGTACAGTGAGTGTCTTTGAAGGCGAGGTTTCATGTGCCGATGTAGTGTAAAGTGTGTCCTTGACGGAAACGATCAGTGTATTCCTATAGCTGGAGTACGTTCAGATATTGCCTTGTCTCTTCTGCATATTTTCTCCTCTCGCTGAGGTGGTTATGTTCTTCCTATTTCAATTTATCTTACGTGTTAAGAAATTGATCGAGGCTTTGAAAAGTATATCGCGCCTAGATGGGCGCTGCTCGAACACAGATAGCTTTTACTAATAACACTTTCATCCTATAACCTTGAACTCATCAATTCTTCATGCCATGTTTGACAATGAGGGACGGATCAATAAAATATACCACCAAAACTCCAACTAGTGCCGAGGTCAAGGAAACGTGGCTCTATAAATCCACTCCCTCATACGCCTTCATGGCGTAGTGCTGAATTAGTTAAATGCAGGGAAAACTTTGACTTTACCTTACCAAGTTCGTTACCAAATCTGACCCGTGTAGCGTAAAAACCTCCTAATCAATTTCACATATCAGACTCGCTGAACTGTACCGAGTCACTTATTTCTTCTTCTCCCTTGACGGATTTTGCCTTCTGGTCTGTTCCCATCGTGACTAATCTGGACTATGGTTCTTAGACACAGTTGGTAGACTCCTTAGGAATGTCATCAGTCCGTCGCCCGTCACTAAACATAACACAAACAGAGAAGAAACGCGGACACACAACCGTGCCTTAAGTGGGATTCGAGGGCCGCGCCATATCTCAAGCGGTTAGTCGCTGGATTCCCACTGCGGCGGCCCTGGTTCGATCCCGGGGTCTGGTCAAGTGGGATTTGTGGTGGACAAAGTAGCGCTGGGGCAGGTTTTCTCCGAGTACTTCGGTTTCCCCTGCCAATCTTCATTCAACCAATTGCTCCACAATCACCCTCACCCATCACCTTGGGCTGGTACAATAGGCCAGAAATGGCCGCAGTACAAGGGACTTAGTCCTACCCCACTAGCAATAAAAATAAGTGACATTCGAAATTTGTGTGATTTACATGCTTCACTATATTCATTCTAGGTAATTTCAGTTCGGGTTGCAACGTCAGGCGCATACAAAAACAGAAGTTATGAGCGAATGAAATGCATGCCTGTTTGCTTGGCCAACACTGTTACGTTATTGCATTCTGAAAACCAATCAATACAGTTTACTACCATCGCTTACGTAATATATAAACGAATTAACCTAAAGAAAAGGGCATCAAAGTTAACAAGATAAACAGGGTAGTGTTGACTGAAAGATAAGATAATTCAGAATATTTGTTGAAAGAGATAACTACTGATATGAGCTGCTATGTAACTTTATATGACGGAATAAGAAGACGGAAGATAAAAGTGCAACTCATGCAAACATCGCCTGTGGAAGTAGCAGCCCACTACTGCCAACCTCTTCTCACTGAATGAGATCTAATTTTAGTAGCTCTGCATAAAAGCATCTGCTCCAATTTGTAAGTTTTGTAGGTCTATGTATAGAACTACATTAAATTATGAAGATTTCATATTTAATTTGAATTCTTGTATCTCTCAGATGTTGGAATTACACAAAATATTTCACTTTCTAGAAAGTTCCAATAAAGGGCAAAATAATGTCTTGGAGGTCACACTCGAACAAAGTAGAATTGTATGATTAATCAGATAAGCCGTAATAAAAGACATAATGAAACATGGATATTAAGTGGCAGAGAGAAGACATGTGTTGTTTGTGAAACGTTCCTGTGTTTAATATTTTATGCATCACGTCCATGAAGAGATATGGGGGAGTGAATGTATAACTTTATCATATTTGATATCAACTCTAGGCAGAGGTGAGTTCTTACCTAAACGCACCTGTTCCTTNCATATATATATATATATAAAATAAGGGAATGTTTGCGACCTGTTTTAACATAAGAAATGTGTGAATTCTGCCCACAATACTTATTTATGTTTCGTATTGTTCTCACAAGATACAGCTATTATTTCCTTAAACAGTAAGCGGTTAGCCTTTTTAGGGGAGATGTAATGTGTTTTCTGTGAGGTATGAACTGAATTTTTAAACATTATGTAGAAGAATTTCAGTCTTTAACAGTGAGAGTATGAATGCCCCCAGAGCCGTCAGACAATAAAGTGCGGTCATGGGTTCCTTCTGACTCAACAAAGAATCACTATGCTGGCGAGGGCCACCAGCAATTTACATGACTCACTGACTAAGTCTTTAAAGGGTTAATTAAGTTACACAACAGCTTGCTTTACTTCAGCAGAACAGGGAATTCTGCTGAATATTCTTGCAGATAGTCTGGACTAGTTAGAAATTCTAAATGTCATAGTTTAAAATTTAATAAAGATCATGACGGATTCTTGAGAATATAATATGAGCAGAACGGAAAACCTTGCATTCACTTTCTATAATGCAAGTCATTTTAATCAATATTCCTGAAACTCGAACATAGCGATAAAACGCTCATACAGTTTTTGAGCGGTTAAGGAAAGTCAGCATATCAGCCTGGAAATTCCCCGGTTATCTTCTTCCAACACGTATAAATATTCGTCACGCTGTAGTGAAGGACAACATACAACATATATCGCATTTTATGCATCGCTCGGGCATAAATACTTCTGTGAACTGTCTCATTTGCTTCGAATTCGTGTTTATGCATCTTCATACGTTGGCTTCCTCTGTCAATTTAAAATATAATGTTCAGAAGCACACAGCAGTAAGGGATGCCCTATACTCATACAATGAATACGGTCAGGGCTTAATAAGTTAAGCGCTTTTCGCAACAATTAGCGCCTCTTATCTATACTCCGTGTGTCTGTACGCTCTTCAAATATTAATAATTATCCTCTGCATATAGTACATATTTTAAGCAAGTTGATGGACCTATCTAAAACAGGTAAATTTGTTGTGCTTGATGAATATTACGTAAATGACGTAAGAGTGGCTTCCACTTTGCATGAAATGCAGAGTTCTGTTTGAATACATAGTCTCCCAGTTAGTCAAGAAATAGTCTGCCTTATTAGGGACACAAAGGTTTACTTACTGCTGTCATCATGATAGTCTGCCACCAATTCTTATTCTGAGCTAGATGAATTTATTCCATTCATTCATCATTCATTAGTAATCTGTCAAGACGACAGGTCCACAGTCTCTTCCAAAACACTTGATGCGATCTAGAGCTTTCTCCTTCAAATGAAAATATCCTCTTCTGTCCCCAAGGTCATCCAGCATCTTCTTACGTCTTCTTCCTCGTCTTCTGGTCACTTCTATCCGCCCCTCTATCTTTCCTTCATTAACTTCCTCATATAATTTGTCTTTCAGATATACAGTAAACTGAGTGACCTTGCTCCAGTTTTTTTTTTCAGCTGATACCCCTAATTTTACTAGTGTTTACTGAAATGTTCACATTTTTCTCTACGAGTATTGTAAGTCCACTACTAAAGGAACCACCCGACGTTGTTTGGCTTGATTTCATTTCATGTATATTATATTCCCAGCATTTTAGGGAACCCGAAGTTTCATTACTGTGTTCAAAAGAGCCTTCGACTGGTCTCTATCCTGAGCCAGATCAATCCAATCCATACCATCCCATCCTACCTCTCTAAGATCAATTTTAATATTGTCCACCCACTTACGCCTTGGCCTTCCCAGTGGTCTCTTTCCTTCTGACTTTCCCACCAATATCCTATATGCAATCCTCTTCTCCCCCATTCGTGCTACATGCCTTGCCCACCTCATGCTCCTTGACTTGATCATTCTAATTATACTTGGAGAAGGGTACAAGTTATGAAGCTGCTCTTTATGCAGTTTTCTCCAACCATGTATGTTATATATTTGTTATTAGAATTTGGAGCAATATTTCCAGGGGGTTTAAGATAATTTGCACCACTGAAGAGATTCTATATGAACAGCAAAGGAAAGTCGTCCTGACATCCTCTTCTCAAGAGTGAAATGAGGAAACTACGTTGCCGTTTCCTCAATTTGTGCTGCTCCATTCAGTAACATGTGTTCAACTCAGGCTGATAACAATTCTCGGAAATTGCGGTTGCGTTGCGGTTGCCAGTTTCCTTGGTGTGCCCTAGCCATAAAGCACAAAAGTCTCATGTTTTCATGCGGCTACTACCTTCCGTGCCTATAAAAACGCGACGCGTCGAATGTGCTGCGTCATTGGAGGCACAAACCGTAGCAGTGAAGTTTATCGGGAGCCACGAAGGTTACCAGCGGTTCTAACCATGATGTCAGTGAAGCTAAACAACAACCGCGACATCCCAGTTCTCGGCGTTGGAACTTTGTTTGTAAGTTGATATATCTTAAATATTATTTGTCCTCAGCAAATCCTTTATTTTGCTAGACTCCATTTAAATTTGCCTGGTTAAGTCGTCATTCGTCCAGAAAATAAATAGTATTCGTGAAATTTAATAAATTCCTGCTATGAAAGGAGTAGGCTAATATTCGGTCTTCCGTTTGAAATAATTAAGCTCCATTTCTTCCGCTACTCTGTGAAAAATCTAACACGTGGACCTTTACTTCTTTTGGCTTATTTTGGACTTCACCCATCGTCCGGTATATAAAAAAGACAAAGAACCACAACGTTTCGGAGACTGGATCTGTCTCCGTCTTCAGGTGTATAGGGAAGGTTTAACCTACTCAGTCAAGTCAAATAAGCCAAAAGAAGTACAGTATACACCATCGTCAGAATCCTTTCAAGTCTAATCAACGTGGACCTTTGCTTTTTCTTGTCAGTTTTTCATTCTTTCCTTCTTTTTTTTTTTAAGCGACGATTAGGAAAATGGTCCTATTTCCTTGACACAATAAAATAACAAAACAACGGTTTTCCAGACGATGTGATGCGAAAAGATGGGGCAGTACGCCATGAAGGCTAGGGCGGAGTGGATGTATAGATCCACATTTTCTTGACCTCCGAGGTCAAGTTGGAGATGAGTGGTCAGCTTTACGGTCCAGAAGCTTTACCCCCGATACCCATTGTATAGGGGGTTGCGTGAACCTCAGACCCGGTCTGGACGACGTCGAGAAGACTAAAATTCTTGACCCTACTTGGACTCGAACTCCGACCTCTAGATCATCCAGCCCATAGCCAGTCGCTATACCGACTGCGCTATCCCGGCTTCTTATTACAATTCTATAATATAATTAGTTATGAACATGGGGTTTGTCTCATATGTAGCAAAGGAGAAGAGCTTCATATTGAGATATGAAAGAAAAACTCTTTGGAGGGACCAGATTTTGGACAAGAGGTTTAGGAAAACGCTGCAGAGGATAGCAGGATGCAAGAATAAAGTGCAGTGATAGAAAACAGGAATATACACGATTAAATATAAAAAATGAGGAAGTTTAGTAAGAAAGAGCGAGAGCAAAGCGGAAATAACTGTAGACGAGTAGTAATCGGTAGGAGGTGTAAGAGGACACGTGTAAACAAAGAGTAATGTAAAATAGATGAGTTCCATACTGTAGTATAGTGTAATATAAGTGTGATGCAGGAATGTAGGATCAGAGAGTCAAACTTCGGCACCCCAGAATGTAAATTATAAGGCGCCTAATACCGTATTTAAACATTCAAGTTTAATCTTTACTTCTGTAGGCGTAGCCAGTGCAACTCCTCTTACATTCTAATTACTGGTCTCTGAAATGTTATGTAAATGTAAAGTATCTACTCACGGTATGTAGGAATTCAGGAAATTTATAATGTGAAGGGCTGATTGTGTGGAATGCTCTGGAAAGAACAGAGGCAGGAAATGACCGAGATATTTCTAGAGGAACACAAGCGTGAAGAACTTTAGCCAGCTCAACCTGTGTCATGACAAAAATTCGAACTGAATAACTCTCTAACACTAAAGTCAGGTGTGTCACCAATGAGCTAACCTGCCGTATTTTAAAATTAAATTTATACTGCATCTTTCTGCAGCATATTGAGTACATAACAGCAAAATCTGTTAAATTAATTAATTCATTCATTCATTCATTCGTTCATCAGTGGCTTTACAGCCCTTTGTTGGGCCCTAGCCTCTTCTTCAGTTTAGTAATTTTTTGCACATACGGTATCACTCCTTGGACGAATGGTCAGTCAGTCGCAAGGCCACTACCTACACACAGGACAACACAGACACAGAATAAACGCATACAGACATCCATGCCTTGTGTGGGATTCAATTTTATTTCTGTCAACACAGCACTATTTCCGACAGGTGGAGTTTACTGTTTCGGCAGTTACAGGTATCACAGTTATTATCATGTAAGAACCGGACCTGGAGATAGCAGACAGTGCCGAGACATATCGTCCCAGACACAGAACTCCATCTGGTGGATAAAGTGCTGTATTGGCAGGAATATAATAAACATTGAAGAAAGCAGTCTTCTGGGATTTGGCGCCGTGTATATGTGGTGTTAACCGACGTTTCGGAGGAACGTATCGCCCCCATCTTCAGGGTTGAAGAAAAAGTATAGGTAAATCTGCAAGCGACAACACCGTGAGACACGGTAAAGCAGTCTCACGTGTTGTCGCTTGCAGATTTACCTATACTTTTTCTTCAACCCTGAAGATGGGGGCGATACGTTCCTCCGAAACGTCGGTTAACACCACATATACACGGCGCCAAATCCCAGAAGGCTGCTTTCTTCATAGTCACCGCCGTGAAAGCCTCAAATCTTACATAATAAACATTACCTACGAGGTTACGTGTATCTGTTTACACTTATCTTTCTTCATTTATAGGCTAAACAAGGTGAGGCGGAACAACTGGTGAAAGATGCAATTGACATTGGATACCGCCATTTTGACACTGCCATGGCGTACCAAAATGAGAAAGAAGTTGGGGCAGGCGTCAGAGCAAAGATCGCAGAAGGAGTCATCAAGAGGGAGGACATCTTTATTACAAGCAAGGTATGGGAGACTAACATGATGCGGACATCAGAGCGATTTGCCAGACAAATATATGTGCCAATTGACATATACAAACACATTTAAAAAAACACTGTATTTTTAAGTAAACCATGATATCTCTGTCGGTAAAATTACTGATTGTGATCTTGATTACCGGCATTCGCTTACCAATGGGAGCAAGGAGGACTGTGTCTTTGCACAGGGTCCAAACTTGCTCTTGGACACAAGCAAGACTATTTCTACGAGAGTTAATCGGTTGAAATGTGAAACCGACCGCTGACCAGCGTTTGGTGTTAAGGTTAGGAATGTCTTCCGTCCTACCTACATCCACCACGCCTTCTTGGTGTGGCGCCTAATTACGAGCACCCGCCAATTTCACCTTTACCGTTGTATTTGCAATATACTACTTCACTCACTTTCAGGGACTGTGTTCCAGCGAACACGCAACAATATGAGCTGTGTTCTCTGTGGAGCATGCTACAACTAAGTTGCTAGGTTACACACCAATTCCGACAAAGGTAGAGATGTTTTCTATATGGTCCGCACCATACCCAGTGATAGGCAACAAAGCTGTAAACACGCATCCCTAACGGAAGAAGGATATTTTCTGTGTGGTCCGTGCCGCGGATATGTAACCTTCACCATAACCTGCGAGTCGTAGGAGGCGACGAAAAGGGAAGTCTCAAATCTGAGACAGTAAAATATGGTCGCGAGTCCCAAGGGACTCGGACCCGAGAAAGACCGCGCTGGCAAGGGCCAGCAGCATATACAAAAGACAGACCCATCATCTCGTCAGAGAGGGCGCCCCACAAAAATAAGACCGTAACTGTCAAATGGTGATAATTAATATCTGGTCATGAGCCCAGATGGGGCTCGACACCAAGACTTACTGACTGACTGACTGACTGACTGACCGTCAGTCGCAATGTGACTTTGACTTTGACTTGTATGTATAAGAGGCTTAAACTTGGCGGCAGTCAAGTATACGACCGTTCAAGTGACTAGACTGCCTTTGTACCAGAAGCTACTAGAAATAAGGCATAATCTGCTGGACTGACTGAGACCCTGTATATATTTAATACATTTATTATCATGTTTAAGAAGTAAAATGTAAATACCCTTCACATTATAACAAATGACTTACTACTACAGACAATGACTGACAAAAAACGGACCCGTCCTCTCATCAGAGAGGGCGCCCCATAATAACAAGACTTAAACTGTCAAACAGTAATAAATATCAGGTCATGAGCCCCAGACTGGGCTCGACACCAAGATTGACTGACTGACTGACCGTCAGTCGCAATGTGGCTTTGACTTTGCGCGTCGTAGGAGGCGACGAAATGGGAAGTCTCGAATCTGAGACTGTAAAATATGGTCGCGAATCCCGTGGGACTCGGACCTGAGAATGACTGCGCTGGAGAGGACCAGCAGCAATTGTAAAACAGAGACCCGTCCGTTCGTCAGAGAGAGCGCCCGACATCAGCAAACCTGCAACTGTCTGACAGTAATAAAAATCTGGTCATGAGCCCCAGAAGTGTGCTTTACTTCAAAACAGACGGACCGACTGAACGTCAGTCATAACATACTTGTAAATCCCAAGACTCAGACTGAGCTAGATTGGATTAGAAAATTAGCATTAGAGAACTGGGTCGAGTTCTGGAGGGTCGGCAGTCCAAGGTGACTGAATAAGAAATGACAAGAAGACTTCATAGTGATTTGAAGTGATAGTTTCTGTGATAAGTCCGTTGCCAGGAAACGGATAGCCTGTCCTAGTGATCTGTGAAGTGGGCAGATTAGCGGTAGCGCTATAATTGATTGTGAAGAAGAGAGACTGCAAAATAAAGTATCATCCAATCCAAAACCCGTTATTATTAGTCATGGAACCCCTCATACGTGACAATGTGTAATCCCATTGTAATTACACTTACGTCCTATAATGTATCGTAGAAACTATTACATGAAGTCGTACTGGGCTAGGGTTCTTATATCATCCGAAAAACAAGACAGGAATGAAAATGTCAAAGAGATTATTAATAATTCAAGTAGGATTTTAGAATATAAAAATAGCGGATACGCGTTGGGAAGAATGGAATAAAATCGAATCTAAAACTATTTTTTAATTATAGTTTACAACGAAGAAATGCTGAGGGACCAACTGATAAGTACGTGGTAACATGTACGAGAGAAATTAGGAACGCATACAAAAATTTAGTCAGAAAATCAGATGTGTACAGAACACCTGGAAGATTTAGGGGGTGTGATTAAAATTGATCTTAGAGAATTAGGTTCTGAGGATGCGAACTGGGTTCGTGTGGTTCAGAATATGATAACATGGAGGATTCTTGCTTACATGGCAAAGAAACTTCGGGTTCTATAAAGGACTGAGAAGTTCTTTGCAAGTCGAGCGACTAGCAAATTTCTCAAGAAATTTTTATATAATCTTTTGTTTCCATTCGCACCCCAACATGCCGGACCTCCCTTCTCAAGAATTGCTCTACCTCCATGGAATTAGTTCAGCAAAAAAGTAAAGTTGTCCCTGTGTTTATTTAATTAAGCACTACGCCACGAAGGCGTATGGGGGAGTAAATGTATAGATCCACATTTTCTTGACCTCGGCACTAACTGGAGGTGATTGGTCAGCTTCACGCCCGCCAGCTTTACCCCCGGGGAAATAGGGCCCCGGTACCCATTGGATAGGAGGTCGCGTGGTCCCCAGTGCCTGTCTGGACGATGTGGAGAAGAGAAAATTCTTGACCCTACCTGGACTCGGACTCCGACCCCTCAACCGTCCAGTCCGCAGCCAGTCGCTGCACCTACTGCGCTATCCCGGCTCCCCTAAAGTTGTCACTGTGATTAACTAATTAAGCACTATGTCATACAGGCGTATGGGGGAGTAGATGTATAGCTCCACATTTTGACCTCGGCACTAGCTAGAGGTGAGTGGCCAGCTTCACGCCCCGGCCGCCTTACCCCCGGTACCCATTGGATAGGAGGTTATATGGATCCCAGCGCTGGTCTTGATGGCATGGAGAAGAGAAAATTATTGACCTTACCGGGACTCGAACTCCGACACATGGAATTAATTAAGTGATGAACTGAACTTTTAAGGAGGATCGACACGGATTATTGATCGTGATCCTTAAAGCGATTAGAACTATGGCGTATATGGGTAGAGTGTGTAAAGAGCGATGTGTAACGGGTCGAAATAATTGTGCTAAAACTAACGAATCTCTTTCATTTCAGCTGTGGAACACAAAGCACAAGCGTGAATTGGTGGTAGACGCTTGTAAAGAGACCGTTTCAAAGCTGGGCCTGGAATATGTGGACCTGTATCTTATCCACTGGCCATTTGCCTTCAAGGTAACGTGAAGAAGCATCGAGCGAGACTTGGGGCTGTCTCGGCAGGAGGTGTGAAGACTACAGTCTGCTGGGGGTGCAAAGCTGTGTAGTCTGGCAGATCGTTATAGGTGTTTTTAACGAACCTCAAGATAGAAGCAGCAATTTCCTCCGAAACACAGTTAACGATCTACAAGATCACATGTAGTCACGTCCCAGATGAGAGAACGCTTTGGAACAGCGAAACTGAATAACTAGTGTATTAACTTGAAAGCTAATACAACAAACACTGTGCTATGTGTCATTTGAAGACGTTAGTGATATCCGTGCCGGTCACAGTGGCCGCGTTGTCTAAGGCATGAACTGTCTTCGCTCGCTCGAACGCTGGGATTGTGGGTTCGAATCCGACTCGAGGCATGGATATCTGTATACGTTCATTCTGCCTTTGCGTTGCTCTTTTTATCGGTGGAAGCCTTGCGAGTGGCTGATCCTCCATCCAAGGAATTCTACCGACTGTCACTTGTAGTACGTGTAGTATTGTTTCCGTCTATAATGCGACAATTAACAACACTGATTCACACTTAATCCATACAGTGGTCGTTATGTGTATAAAATGTTAGAATATATATGCATTATCACAATGCTGTATGTTTCGGCCATATGAGGCCATCTTCAGGCAACACTTTTATAAGGAGTCTAATGCACTGCGCGCTAATCGAATATCATTCCCTTCGTTACGTCATTGGTGTTTCCTTCTTCACATCTTTTTTTAAATTCTGCTGTTTCGATATTTCATTGGTATGTTGTTTTCTTGAGTGTGCGCATCATGTGTCACTTTGCGTTCTCTGTATTTTAATAATTTTAATAACATTTTCTATGCATAACGACCGCTATGTTGATTAAGTGTGAATCAGCGTTGTTAATTGTTACATTTTAGACGGAAAAAATAGACTATATGTGACAACTGAATGCAACAGGATGCTCAAATATAATATTACCGGTTGTGTAAAGATTAAGAAACTGAACAAGCGGCCAAGGCCCAACGAAGAAACTGTGGAGCCTTAATAAAATACAAGTTATATCCGTTGCAAGGATGGAGCTGATATCCATATCGGTATGAAAGGTATCATAACAGATTATGTAAATTGTACACAGCAATGATTAATCGTTTGCATGTGTCATGCAGTGATGATTCATTATTTTAATTGGCATGTGTTGATAATAGGACATGGCATACAAATAACTTAATTTGTAAGTACTGAGACATGGCATTACTTTGATATGCAGTCACGAAAGATGAGTTAGATGGGGAATGAAGCATAATGAGGGAGATGAGAAATGAATACATAACGGAGAACTAGACATAAGAGATAAGTATATTAACTTTTCCTTTCTGCTATCTAAAATATTCAAGATTAAAAGCGTAAGAGTGCTATGATTCTCTGTTAGTTTATGAGTTGAAACTTCTCTAACACAATTTGTTTTAATTCGCTTTAGTGGGGGGTGGAGTCCAGCTGGGTCCACTCGGCACGGTGGCCACTAATTGGCCTATTGTAGCCTGCCCCGCGTGATTATGATGATGGAGAATTTGGTGGAATTAAGATTGACAGGGGATACCGAAGTATTCCTACTCCTGTGTAGGTAGCAGCCTTGCGATGGGCTGATCCCCAATCCAAGAAGTTCTACAGGCAGTGTATAAGATTGAAAAAAAAAACGCTCAGGGCCTAAACTGGGTTGTAGAGCCATTAGTAGTAGTAGTAGTAGTAGTAGTAGTAGTAGTAGTAGTAGTATTAGTAGTAGTAGATTTGTTGAAAGCATACCTCCTCCCTTTACAGATTCAGATAAATGAGTAAAGAACTTTCAATTTATACAACAAATGAGTAGTTTTCTCAAAATTAGATTATTTCCCCAGTTCAGAGACTGCTGCAAATACAATTGCTTGTCCTCTGGCGGCTAGAAACCTAGCATGTTTACGTGTGATAAGGCCCCTAGCGCTAGTCCCGACTCAGTTCTAGGAAACCGAAATTAAAGGCCGTGGGGATTCGTTTCGCTGACCACGCGACATTCTATATCCGCTGAAGTTGGAATAAAACATAAGCCTACAATATTATGAAACACAGAGCTCGAAATCGGACACAGTTTTACATTAAGATCCTCAGCCCGAAATAAATTTCTATGTTTTTCCTGAATTTGGATGAGGAATCATCGGTTCAACATTTTATGTGTAGGACTCAGAAGAACTGTGGCCGAAAGATTCAGACGGTAAAGTCCAGCTTGCAGATGATGATTATGTGGACACGTGGAAAGGAATGGAAGAATGCGTCAAGCTGGGCCTCGCAAGGAGCGTCGGCATCTCCAACTTCAACACAGAACAAATAAACCGCGTTCTGGAAGTGGCAACCATCAAGCCTGCTGTTAACCAGGTAATAAACATTCTTTCTGGACGTGCCACAGCTCCGGCTTCTCACCGCGAAGGTGGAGGCCCTGCTTGTATCCCATTGGGATTTGTGGTGGACGAAGTGACAATGGGAACGCTTCAGTCTTCCGTGCAAATTATAAATATCATTCCAAAAATTCACCACCGTTATCTGTCATCAGAGGCTTCTATAATAATAGGCAAGTCTGAGACCGGAGTACAAAGAAATAATTTTCATATATTTTCGCCTATTTCCTTATTTTCAAAAGATTAGTCTTGTAAAGTCACCATGCTGTTTGTGTGTCTGTGAACCCCCTCCTCCAATCCACTTTCGAATGCCTGAACCAATGTTTACGAAATTTGGTACGTATCTCCACGACATACTTCGTAAATCCCTCCCATCAGTCTGTGTGTCTGTATGTGAATCCCTCCTATTGTTACTAGGCAAAAGCTCGGTAAATTGTGTCCCTCCTGTCGTGGTAAACACATTCCCGCTGCAACGAATTCACGAAACAATAGAATAAATGTTGGAAGCGTCATTTTCTATGCGGTCCACGTCTTATTAAAGGAGATTTTATGGGTCTGCCTGTGTATCTCCCCAATATTGATTGGTAGAAACATTCACGCGGCAACGAAGAATTTTTGGAGGCGTCGTTTTCTATGCGGTCAGTGTCGTATAAAAGGAAATTAAGCGATTAGTTCTTTACTCAACGTCCATGTATTTATTGTCCGTCAAAATTATAACAATTGTTTATTCGCTGCTTAATTTTAATTTTAGTTTAACATTATACACTTCGACACTACACGTCTCGGCCCCAAACGGCCATCTTCAGGTGTATTAATATGTTACAAATATTTTATTAAATTATGTTAAAACTGCTACACTGCCTTAGTTCGTGTTAAAATCACACGCTGAAGTTCTCTTTTCAGGTAAAACCAGATAAAATTCTTTAAAGTTTCTGTTATACCCACGTTATTTTGGTGCATTTTATTTCACCTCACATAGGGTGTCGTTCCTTGTTCATAAATGTATGCCTGTCCAGGGTGTTTTGTCTCGGCAGCTTGCCTCTCACGTTCGTAGCCTGCTTTTCATGACTGCCATGTGCCCCTGGTTAGAGTGTTTCCTCCACAGCGTGTGGTGTTGTCTTTACTAGTTCTTCCCCGAACTTCTTGTTAACCAACTGTTCTTATTTAAAAAAAAAAACAGAAATAGACTTATCAGATCGCCGTGTTATTTTTAAGCGTTTCTCACTTTTGAGGATTCCTCGCCCCAGGTTTTCATCTCTCGCGATATTCTACATCTTACTCAGGCAGGTCTCGCTCCCGCGTTACTCCCGTCACATCGCCAGTCCAGATCTGTCGTCGTTTGCCGTTTCTCCGGCGCCCACTGAACTCCATTCCGATGCCAGACGCTGTAATCGGTGATTTTCCATCGGGCATTCATGTCCATATCAGTCTTGTTGCTTTTCATCTGTGAGATCTATTACTGTTTTTAGTGCATCAACCTGTTTTCCAATTACCTTATTTCGGCTTTGTCCTAAAATTTTTAGATTCCACTCCAACTAAAAGGAGAAATATTCTCTGTGTGCAAATATCTTCCTGTCTTAATGGCTGTACCTTTCTCATGCCTGTATTTTCAGGGTTTCCTTGATGTTCCTCTCTACCCTGTATGCGTAAAATTCCATGATATTTTTTGCCATCTCTTCTACTTACATGACCCTTCAGTGAGTTCTTACATGTATTAACAGCTGTCATTATAGTCTACAGTTATATACGAGACTATATATAAATGTTAAGATCTGAAATTGTCACGTCGACTGAAATTGATAAAAAGCTTCTCGGCTTGTCAGCCATGGGTCAGTAGCTGTAGAACTGGTCTACAGCTACTCATTTAGACATAACGAAATCCGCGGCAAAATCAACCTACAAGAAATATAAAACATAAAAACACGCACAAAAATTAAAAGTTTGTAATGATGGTACATAAAAAAGTAAACCTATCCCTGTAACAAGCCGTGAAGGCCCATAGGGTTGTGAGACGTTGAGGCTCCCACATTATCTAGACAATCGGCTCAAAGATGGCGGCAAGGCCTAATGATGGTACATTAGTACAAATACATGTTATGTTTTTGGACATTATCGATCGTCTTGTCTACATGTAGAATCCGTCCTTTTTTTTTTTTTTTTTTCAAAACACAACATTTCAGAGACTGGATTCCGTCTTCAGGTATAACCTACTCATTTGCGCAAAATGGATATATGTAGGCCCTATCCCTGGAGAAAGGGACTAGCTCTATCGATTGGGCCCAACCGAGTAGGTTTTACCTTGACGCTGATCATTCTGAGCCCTTATTGATTTGGATGATTATAGATGACCATGAAATTTATTTCTAATTAATTCTCGGTAATTTTTAATTTCAAAAGTCTTATGTTTCGATATTACTGGAAATGTATTGTGATCTTTAATATNAATTGCCTGTGAATGAGGGCCAGTATGATTGGGTTGCCTCGTTCAAGCTTCCCACGGAAGATGGGATGAAATGTATATGTCAACACCATCTTTCGAATTCTCGGCGTGGGGTGTGCAAGCCATTCCACAAAAAAGAGAGACTTTCACAATATTCCGAACTTAACGGACGTGACCCTTGCACGCTCCGAGACATAGCTAGCCGATAGTAACGCTGTAACTTAAAGCTAAGAATACATTAATTTAACAGTGTGGTGAATTAGGAGGTGAATAAACGTCAATTGGCTCAACTCTTAGAAAAACGCTTTCTTAGGCATCGCTACCCTGAGACTCATGCAAACCGACCCAGCTAGTTTCCCGTACCTATACCGATCTTCCTTAGTTTGATCTGTGAGGACAACTTCCAGTAGCCATCATACACTGTCCTAAGGTAGAAACAGGTGTAGCAGGGATAGCACCATTCCGACTGCGCCGATACAAGCAAAGGCGGGTTGGAAAAGAGCGGTGTTAACCTGAAGATGAAGACAGAATCCAGTCTCTGAAACGTGTTTTGAAAAATAAACAGGGCGGTTTTTAGATGAAGATAATACGATGGATAATGTCCAAAATCGTAATATTTGTACGCACAACAACGCTCACATATCGTGTGGAATACTCAACTCCCAAACCCGACACAAGATCACATTAAGAGAAGTAATTTTAAGTGACAGTAGTAGCGATTTTAACGGCAGAGAAGAATCCTGAGAACGAGGGCCCTCAGTGAAGTACCAGAAACCAAGGCGAAAAGTTGCGTTATCTTGAACCAACTGTACCGAATTAAGTAATTCTAAACTATCTGAAAAAACTGATTTCCTAAAGATTTATTTTGTTCGTTGCAGGTTGAGTGCCACCCGTACCTGAACCAAAGCAAGCTGATTGCCTTCTGTAAGGAGCGGGGTATTGTAATAACGGCCTACTGTCCCCTGGGTAGCCCCAACAGCATTGCCAAAGCAGACTTTCCTGCACCTCTTAAAGATCCGACACTACAAGAATTGGCATCGAAATACAAGAAAAGTGTGGCCCAGATCATTCTAAGATACCTGGTGAGTTCGTAATGCAAATTTTATATTGTCTAATATACGGTTAGAATGGCAGGAGTGGGCTAAATAATATTATGTTAATAATATCATATTGTTCTTGTTCACTTCAATGTTGAGCATGTTTCATTCAAGTGTCTTAACGGCACGGAATTACGTCTTCATAAACGACAACAATAGCAAGGATTAAACCAGTGCTCTGTTATTTTCAATTAATTGTTAAACAGTCTAGAATTTGGTATTAACTAATAACATGACAGTCAACACGTCCCTATACAATCTCTTCGCTTGCGGGTTATTTATTTTTCCTTCTACCCTGAAGATGGAGGCGATACGTTCCTCCGAAACGTCGGTTAACACCACATCTACACGGTGTCACATCCCAGAAGACTGCTATCTTCATAGTCACCGCCGTGAAAACCTCAAATCTTGCATTGTATTTTAAATGTTTGCACTTTTGGATGTTATGATTGGATTCGTGGAGCCCCCTAGTAATTTACTGTAGATGACTTAAATTAAGGAAAATTTAGCTCACTTGCCACTGGTAGAAGGTCCTTACAGCAGTGGACACTGCAATAAATAACTGAAAACGCTAATTTTTTGTGTAAGTGAATGGGTGAGCGTGTACACAAGCGAAGCAGAGAGAGAAAATAATTTGGAAATATATACGAAACTTAAAAACATATCTAGATCTGCTCGGTTACAGATACTTCTTTTGGCTTATTTTGGACTTCACCCATCGTCCGGTATATAAAAAAGACAAAAAACCACAACGTTTCGGAGACTGGATCTGTCTCCGTCTTCAGGTGTATAGGGAAGGTTTAACCTACTGTCTTTTTTATATACCGGACGATGGGTGAAGTCCAAAATAAGCCAAAAGAAGTACAGTATATACCATCGTCAGAATCCTTTCAAGTCTATCGGTTACAGATGTTTAAACATCTGTAGCTATGCGGGAAATCGAGATAACTGTATTTGCAATGCATACCGTTGTGTATTCAGTGACACACATGATAGGCCCTGTAAATTCTATCCAAAAGCTAACATGGAATAATTGCTTATAGATAACTATCTCTATACAAGGTATAAAAATCAAATTACTCTTTCTGGGCACATTAAATTGCATGTTCAAATACACAATTTGATTTATAAATATATATACCAAGCAGGTCTAAAATTTTCTTGGCATGTTCACAGATTCAGCATGGCACAGTACCAATTCCAAAATCTTCAAACAAAAATCGACTGAAGGAAAATTTTGATATCTTTGATTTTGAGCTGAGCTCGGCAGACGTCGCTGCAATTGACGCCTTGGATAGGAACGCAAGGATATGTGCCTTCAACGAGTAAGTACCAAGTAACAAGCTATTCCTGTAACAGGCCGAGAAGGCCCATAGGATTGTGAGACGTCTAGGCAGCCACATTTTCTAGACAATTGGCTGACAGATGACGGTGAGGTTGTCAGCCTTACGCGCCGGCCGCCTTTTACCCCCAGGAAGATTCCTGGTATTCATTTCTGTCAGAGGCTGAGGGTCATAGTGCGGCTGGAAGGATTACGTCAATTGAAAAATCCAGTGACCTCGTCAGAAATTGAACCCGCGACCTTCAGACTTGTAGCATAGTGCCTGAACCAACTACGCTACAGCGTGGCCATTTGCTGTGTCTACTCTTCTTAAATATCACAGGAAACGTATTCATATATGGCGGAAACGTGTAGCCCGCGTGCGATAGATAGGTATACAAAAGTTCTGTTGGAAAACCTGGAGGAAACAGATAAGCGTAAATTCCATTAATATTTACAATTAATCCTGAAGAAGGTGTTTGAAACAGTGTACTGAATTCAGCTGGCTAATTTCAGGGTTTAATGATGGGGAATTTAACTATCTGGGTAGCTAATACTTTCTCTGCATTGTGAAGTTAAAGAAAATTCAATAATTTGATTTCAAACATAATATTCTTATTAGTAGAATAGTTTAATTTATTGTATATAAGACGTTCTGGGACGAACTAATCCCTTACTCTCCTTTCATACGACATGGATTTCACAGAAAACGACGCCTCCAACAGTACTTCTTTGTCGCGGGAACGTGTTTACCAAGCCATTACCTTGCAACAATAGGGGACTACATAAACAGACACACAGACTGATGGCAGAGATTCATGAAATACGCCGTTGGGATGGGCTCAGTGCCATGATATACACACTAAGTGTCATTGAGACAGGTTCAGGCATTCGAAAGCTGATAAGGGGGATACACAGACACACGGAGAAGACGTCGTGTCTACCACATTTTCTAGAAAATCGGCTTACAGATGGCGGTGAGGTTGTCAGTCTTACGCGCCGGCCGCCCTTTACCCCCCAGGAAGATTCCTGGTATTCATTTCTGTCAGAGGCTGAGGGTCATAGTGCGGCTGGAAGGATTATGTCAACCGAAAAGAAATCCATTTTACTCATAGCTGTAACGTGTTTTATTTCTGTTTTCTAGTGGAATAGGACACAAGAATTATCCTTTCGACATTGAGTACTGATCACAAAGAAGATGACGTCATGCACCATCACGACGCATCTCAGCACAAAACATCATGTGGAGAGACAGTGAACTGTAGATCAGGCCTTCAAATTATATAAACCACGAAAAGGGAGCACATCGCATAAAGTTTATTATTATTAAATGTATCAGATTTCATCACAAATAAAAGTATAAACCACTTATATGTTCCCCACTTATTTTTATTGATGTGTACTGAAAACTGTTTGTGACTAACATCTTCGGAATGGTGTGTCGAGAAGGCTCAAGCGGTTAGTCGCTGGCTTCCCACCGCGGCGGCCCTGGTTCGATTTCGGGTGTGGTCAAGTGGGATTTGTGGTGGACAAAGTGGCGCTGGGGCAGGATTTCCCCGAGTACTTCAGTTTCCCTTGCCAATCTTCATTCCACCAATTGCTCCACAATCACCCACACCTATCATCTGGGGCTGTTACAATAGGCCAGAAGTGGCCGCAGTACAAGGGACTTAGTCCCACCCCACTAGCAATAAAAAAATTAAACCTAGTAATGAACAAAAATATGGGTCGATTGGCTAGCACTCTTTCTTCGTACTCGGAAGTTCCGGAATTATATTGCTCCCCAAAGACCAGCCATCCATAGTCAGGATTTATTGTGTTCTTCAGACTATCGGGTAAGTACCGAGACAGTGCTATAGCCCATGGCTCTTTCTTACATATCATTTACAATTGACTTAACTTATGTAATATACGGCACACATTATTTATTACAAAAACATAAAGAAGGCCATAAATATATCTTTATATGTCTGCCTATCTATGGACCTTGGCCGCCTTTTCAGTTTCCAAATCCATACATATATCATAGTCGGTAGGACTCCTTGGACGAGTGATCATTTCGTAGTAAGGCCGCTACCTACAGAGAGAACAACATAAACACACAATAAATGCACACAGACATCCATGCCTCGAGTGGGATTCGAACCCACGATCCCAGTGTTCGAGCGGACGAAGACAGTTCATGCGTTAGACCGCGCGGCCACTGGGATCGGCATTAATATCTATAGCGATTACATTTGTGGAAAATAAACGACTAATTATTCCTAACAGTAATTTGTAAGGTCAGCTACAGTTATGGTCACAGAATATTCGGTCAAGGTTTTGAGCACTTTTGGACTTGATCAAGTCAGATAAGAATCGTCTGTTACCGGGGTCAACGACTGCGTAGGCCACTGGTTCTCAACCTTTGTGAGACCGCGGCTCAATAAATCCTTTTTTCAATAAAATGAGGACCCAGTACCGGGCCGCGGCCCGGCGGTTGAGAAACACTGGTATAGGCTAGAGACGAAGTAGCTGGATAGGAGACTGGTGCATCCCAGAAATGGTCTGGATTTCATGGAAACGAGAAAAATTTTGAAGAATGCAGTCTTCTGGGATTTGGCACCGTGTATATGTGGTGTTAACCGACGTTTCGGAGGAACGTATCGCCCCCATCTTCAGGGTTGAAGAAAAAGTATAAGTAAATCTGCAAGCGACAACACCGTGAGACACGATAAAGCAGACTAAAGAGTATACCGTTAGAGCAGAGAGGGAAGGGGATGAACTGCAAGTGAACAAGTGAAAGCAGTGGTGTGGGAGGGGTGGGGGAAGGGAGCCGGGACAAGCGATTTTGTGTAGGGGAGAGATAGCAAGGTTAACTGGCTGGGCTTTAACTGTGAGCTGAGATTTTGCTCCTGCCGAGACTCGAACTGCGACCCCTCGATCGTTCAGCCCGTACCCAGTGGCTATGCTGATATCTCTATTTTTCTTAAAAGTAATCAAAGTGTATATAATGCAGTCCATTCTCTGCAACAAACCAAGTTAAAGTAAAGTTGTCCTTGTGCGTAAGTAATTAAGCACTACGCCACGAAGGCGTATGGGGGAGTGGATGTATAGATTCACATTATCTTGAACTCGGCACTAGTCGGAGGTGAGTGGCCAGCTTCACGCCCCGGTCGCTTTACCCCAGGGGAAAGAGCCTCGGTACCGATTGGATACGAGATTGGGTGGACCCCAGAGCCGGTCTGGACGATATGGGGAAATGAAAATTCTTGACCCCACCGGGACTCGAATTCTGACCCCTCGGTCGTCCAGCCAGTAGCCAGTAGCCAGTCGCTATACCGACTGCGCTATCCTGGCTCACTTGGAAAGAAAAAATGTAGCACAGAAGCAGATTTTGGTCTCGCACTGCCTGTACCTGCGGGAAGGAACTGAGGCTCAGTTTGAGAGACCTTGAATGCGAAACGGCTGGCATACACTTGAACTTCCTTCATTTGGTTGCAGACGGACAAGCGGACTAGTGGCTGACAGGATACCGCTGAGTAACGACGCAATTTTCGTGAAAAGACTTCGATTCCTTAGCACGAAAACAGGAAAGAGTATTACATCTGAGTTCCTTCATACATTATCGTGAATTCGTTATCACAACTGTGCAACAACATGACACCAACAGTGAAGCTTAATAATAATTACGATTTTCCTGTTATTGGACTCGGGACATACAATGTAAGTATTGATTTTAATAGCTACAGCCGACCGCCGACTTACAGTTGCCACGACTGTCGCTCGAGCTTGAGTTCTTTCTCTCAGGGATACGGGTGCTTTGGAGATGGGAATGGAACACACTTCGGGGTAAATAAATCCGGGATCTCCAGNTCTTAAACACGTCTCTCCACTCTATCTACATTCCAACTACTGTCATCCTCCGCTCCCTATAGCCGACCCCCTCTCTTTACAAGTCCCCCAGTTGGCATCCGAAAAACAAGAACATAAAAGGGGAGAGCCAAGTGTCGAGCCCGACACCTGCCCGACATTCGTATTTTTCCAGATGCCCATAAACCTCTGTCGGTCTTCAAGTAATCCAATACCCCTCCCGGCTGGTCTCGCACGGTCAGGTCATGGGTTTATGAGATACTGGGCGTAAACAGGTGGCGTTAGGGACAATAGCGGCACCCTTAGCCTGAGGAGGACAATAGCGGAATTACACTTAGAAGGTCCGGGGATGGTACCTCGCCGATGGAGCGTCTCTCACGGTATTAAACAATGTATAAGTACTTCATACCCTTAATTATATAATTTTGACGAGGGACGTACGGTTACAATACTCCCCCCATTAAGCCGAGGTGTGTCCGAGTCGAACAGATGAAAGACGCTACCGAGGCTTAATGCCATTCTCCCGTACGAACCGAGGAATACATTGTTTAATTTATAGTGTCATACTTACACACGACTGACCACATACAAGACAGATTATCTCAACTTTGAATCTCACACTCTTCACAAAACTTCACACATACCACTTAAACTTGACATCGGCTGTCTACCGTAACATAAATGACCACACAAACAATTACTAACCCTGAACTACTGTTGTACAAGAAATTGCTTCAAAAGATAAGACCAACTTACACAAAATGTACATAATTTCTAAGCATTAATATGTTTACTCATAACTGGAAATCAATAAAAATATCTTATTCCACAAA